AGCAGAGCAGTTCCATCCTCTGATCATCCTGGAGCCTCCTCTGGACTTTCTCCAGCAGCTCCACATCCCTCTGATATCGGACCCCAGAGCTGGAGGCAGCACTGAGACTCTTCCCAACGATTCCATGGCTATTTAGGGACACCTGTGCTGCTCCAGTGGCAGCACAGCCCCCTCCTGGACCTCACATTCCTCAGTTTTGATTTTGCTCCCAACAATTTTTGCGGAAGTTCCACGGAGGTTCATCTCCCTGTATTGCCTGAAGGCCCATCCAGGATCCAGAGGAGCCAGACTTTCCCTGGAAAAAAGCCGTGCAAATATAATTCCAAAGGATTCGCAGCCCGTGCTGGGAAGTTTCCTCTGGGCCCAACCCAACAACATTTTTAATTCCTGGAGAGCATTTTCATTTTCTCCTGATGAAGAACCTCTAAAGACAAGAACATGGGAGAGTGGGGAAGGGTCAAGAGGCAATTAAGAAAAAAATCTCACTTTTCACTGCTGGAAAAAGCAGTTAATTAGATGAAAGAAGTGGGAAAAAAAGCAGGAGAGGGAAGAGCTGAGCCGCAATTTGGCAAATTTAAAGAGCTTTCTATCAAACGAATTGATTGGGAGACTAATCATAATCAGGGCTCCTGGATTAGCAGTTAATTGGTGGAATCAATTAATAGTGGTTGTTTTTCACAGCACACTTTCCTCCAGAGCACAGGGATTTTGTTGCAGCCTGTTTTTGGAGATAACAGATGCTGGATTAGGGGCTGGGAATGATTCCCTGTCAATCCAACAGCTCTGCTGGTCCCTCCTTTCAGGAATTTCATTTTTAAGGGATTTTTGTTTTTAGTGTCTGAAAGGGTGTTGGTTAAGTTATTTTCATTCCCTTCTTGTTGCCTCTGCACTTTCTCAGTTTTTGACATTAAAGAACGAATTATTCTCTCAATAAACTTCTGAGTGCTCCCTGCTCCCTCTGAGGAGGGAATAATCCAAGATTATTCATGGAATAATCTCCTCTCTGGAGGTTAGGCAGCAAATTCCTGAGAAATAACAACTCCAAACTTCAAGAAAACTTGGTGGGATTTGTGCTTTAAAGGCAGCTGGGGCTGGGGATGTTCCAGGAGGTGAACATTGGGAATCTGGGATTGCTGGTGCTGCCCCTTTCCCAGTCACTGGGATGGATTTCATGGAAAGATAAAAACGGGGTCAGATCCAGGGGTTCAGGATAACAAGTCGCTCTGTGCTATTTTTATAATTATTTTTAATTTTAATTTTAATTTAATTTTAATTGATTTCTTATTAGTCTATCAGCAAATGTCATGCTACGTATTTAAATGATCCAGGGGTTCAGAATAATGAGCTCCCATGTTCCTCTGGGTGTGTGCCCACGGTGCAGGGGGCAAAAGAGAGGCAGGAGCTGGCCCGTGAGCTGCAGGGCTGAGGGTTTGTGCCCTTTCAGTTTCACCAAGACGCAGATAAGGGGAGAACAACAGGGTTTATTAACATCAGGGCAAGGGGAGGGATGAAGTGGGGTCAGGAGAAGGGAATGGAAGGGAGGGAGCCGTCCCTGGGGCTGCAGAGGCCAGGAGCTGCCTGGCCTTGCAGGCTGGCTCAGTTGAGTCCAGCATCAGCTGCAGGTGCAGCCGCGCTGAGAAGTGGTCCCTGGGCTGTGGTGGGGGGCTGTTGCAGGGACATTGGTCGTCTCAGCGGAGCTGGTGGAGTTCTCATGGCACGGCTGTAAGTGGCCATGAGTGCAGCTCTCATGTTGGAGATGGAGGGGCAGTCGTCCTCACTCATGGCTGTAAGGCCTGGAAGAGAGAGGAAGGGAGCCGGGGTCAGAGCGTGGCTGTGCAGGGACCCCAGGAGCCCCTCCTGCCAGGGCCA